GGAGGAGGAGGAGGAGGAGGAGGGAGAGGGCTCTCGACCCATGCCACGAGATCCGTCTCTTCCTCCCGAGCCGCTGGTGTTCGACGGTGCCCCGAGGCCGGGCAGAAAGGCCCCTAGAGAGGCAGCAGCTAGCGAAGGGCCTCCGCGCCGTGATGTTTCTCCATGGCCCGAGGGGGGTCCGGGGGGGCAGGGCTGCACCTGAGCGCTGTGTTGCTGGACTGCGGCCGTGTTCGGTCTCTCGTTCTGGCAGGGGGGCGGGGTGCAGGAGAACAGGCAGCAAAACGAAAACAGCACGAGAAACAAAACGAAACGAGAAGCAGCGCGAAAACGAAACGAAGCACGAGCAAACGAAACGAAACGAAACGAAACAGGAGCAAAACGAGAACGGGCAGCGCGAAGCGAGAAGCAAAACGAAGACAACACGGAAAACAGCGTTTGGGCCCAGCCTTGGTTTGGCGGTCCCCCGAGGCCAGGTGGAGGCCCCCTGAGGCAGAAGCTAGCGAAGGGCCTCCCGCTGTGGCTCGAGGGGGTCTAGGGCTCCTCCTCCTCCTCCTCCTCCTCCTCCTCCTCCTCCTCCTCCTCCTCCTCCTCCTCCTCCTCCTCCTCTCGGCGCTTAGGGGAACGAGAAATGGCGTAAACATAAGGAATTTTCGGAGGTCCGCGCGGATTCCTTAGATCCGCGCTGGGCCCCCCCTCCCTGGCGCGCGGAGCGCGCCAGGGGCGGCGCCGGAGGCGCCGCCGGGGGGCCCCAGCGCCGATGCGAGAAATCCGCGCGGGCCTCCGAGTTTTTATGTTGACGTCATTGTTCGTTCCCCTCGATTTCTCCATGCCTCGAGGAGGTCTCGGGGGCCCCGTTGGTGGGGGGGCCGGCGGGTTCGAGAAGTACAACGCCGTGTGCCGCGGCGGGCCACTGCAGGGCGAGCCCAGCAGGGTCATGCACGCCCGCTTCCTCGGCCTGTGCGGCGGGCCTGGCGCGGCGGCCGCGGGCGACGGCGGCCAGGCGGCGGTGGCGAACCGGTGCTCGGGTTAATCGAGGAGGAGGAGGAGGAGGAGGAGCAGGAGGAGGAGGACGAGGAGGAGGACGAGGACGAGGACGAGGAGGAGGAGGAGGAGGAGGACGAGGAGGAGGAGGACCCCCTCCTATGGTGGCGGTGGTGGAAAACAGGCCCATCATAGGCCTCCTAGATGGGGTCGGAGTAGCTGGGGTCGGAGGATCGCGCCGCATCGCCGATGCATCGCCGATGCATCGGCGATGCGGCGCGATGTGGGGCCCGATTTGCTTCACGTCCACGTCTCCGATGCATCGCCGACGTCGCCGATGCATCGGCGATGCGGCGCGATCCTCCGACCCCATCTACTCCGACCCCATCTAGGAGGCCGCTAGTTGAGGCGGGCGTGTCCCTCTACAGGGAGAATATCCAGAATTAGCCCCAAATAATAGTCCGGGGGCGATTCTCCTACTATGTTGGGCTATTTTTGTGGATGTTCTGTTTGGCTATTTCTTTATATTTTGCGTTCACAATCCGCCTGTAGGGGGACATGCCCGAGCGAATGCTCGGGGGCGGCCGAGAGGATCGGGCGGGCGGGGCGACGACGGCGCAGACCTTCGGCCACGCGCAGGGGGGGCAGGGTGAGGCTCGGCATCGCTCGGACATGTACACGTGTTCTCGGCGGGGGCCACCGATGGAGGGTTTCACCGAAGGGCTTAGGCGACCCGTCCTCCTCCTCCTCCTCCTCCTCCTCCTCCTCCTCCTCCTCCTCCTCCTCCCCCTCCTCCTCCCCATCCTCCTCCTCCTCCTCCTCCTCCTCCTCCTCCTCCTCCTCCTCCTCCTCCTCCTCGTGCCCTCCTCCTCCTCCTCCTCCTCCTCGCCCTCCTTCTCGTCCTCCCCCTCCTCGCCCTCCCCTCCTCGGGTCGCCCACGGGCCGGGGGGGAACCCGTCCAGCCACCGATGAGCATCTTGGGTCATCTTGCGACGAAACAAGCACTCGCGAAACCGAAACATGCATGGGGAACGGACGTCCGAGCGATGGCAAGGAAGGGAAGGCTTCTCAGAAGGAGGCTGGATCTTAGAAGGCGCGGGCCTTGGCCTTGTCTGTAGATGTAGGGCCGGCGCCTTCTGAGAAGCAGTCTCCTGAGAAGCCTTCCCCCCTCCCCCTAACCCCCTTGTGCGAGCCGCCAAGACATGCTCGCGACGTAGAGATTCGGACGGGAAGTGTTTGGTCGTTTTGGTATTCATTCTGGGGTCCCTCGCTGGGCCTCGGGGCCGTCAAGAACCAGCTCGGGATAAAAAAAATCGGTCCCAGGGAAGGGGTCGAGACTCCGGAGGACCGCGCATTGAACAGTCAGGACGTCGCATGTCTGGGCAGGGGGGGGGGCCATGGCTGGGGCCATGGCATCCCCCCGATGTCATGACCCCCTCCATCTTCTTTTTCCCAGAAGCGGCCCGGGCCCAGGGTTCTCTTGCAGCAGGCAAACTTGTCCCCTGGTGCATCGACTGAGGTGGGCCAGCGCATTTCCGCTCGATTGATATCGAGGTGATGTCTGCTTCTCCGTAGAGAGGGAGAGAGAGAGAGTGTGTGTGTGTGTGTGTGTGTGTGTTTCTCTCTCTCTCTCTCTGTGCGTGCGTGCGTGCGTGCGTGCGTGTGTGCGTGTGTGCGTGTGTGCGTGTGTGCGTGTGTGCGTGTGTGTGTGTGTGCGTGTGTGTGTGTGTGTGTGTGTGTGTGTTCGCGCGTGTCCGCTCGAGGAGAGCGCGCCCCCCCCCCCTCGGATCCTCGATAGAAGGACGGGGTCCGCAGACCACCGCTTTCCCATGCAAAACAGAGAGGGTGTTGCGGCGCGTTTTGTGGAGAATCCGGGGAGAATAGCGAAGTCTGGAGGCTCAGAGATTTCACAGAAATGAAGAGCAGTCGATTTTGCGCGTGCCCGCTCGAGGATTCTGCGTCCCGCGCGCACAATGTCGAGGATGTCTCGAGCGAAACGCTTATTTCACTTGGGGCGCCTGGGCGCCCCAGGCTGCCCAGGTGGTTCTAGGAATGCGCAAGCATTGCTATTCATCAGGGATCGTGGCCATGGAAGCCCGTACTCCGTGGGAGCGCGAATCGTCTTCTGAGAGACTCGGAGCGTGATGAGACCCACGATGCAATAGCGCATGGCACAGTTCATCGCGGCATGTCCCCTAGCGCGTCCCCTGGCATTTCCATTGGCACGTTCTGTGGCGCGTCCCTGGCACGTCACTATACGGCGCGGCACAGCGTAGAGCAGAACGACACAGCCGTTGGCAGAACATCATCATCATCATCATCATCATCATCATCATCATCATCATCATCATCATCATCATCATACTCATCATAATCATCAACAACATCATCATCAGCATCATCATCAACAACAACATCATCATCAGCATCATCATCAGCAGCAGCAGTATCATCAGCATCATCATCATAATCATCATCATCATCATCATCATCATCGTCATCATCGTCATCATCATCATGATCATTGCTACCTTCAGCATTACCACTGTCCATCGCCTAATTGAGGTGCTTGGAGACGTTCCCATGCCTCGCAGGTCTAAATCTCGCTCTGGGTTCGTGGATCGATCATGGTTTGAAGAACATGCGTTTCGCGCGTGCCCGCTCGTAGAACATGTGCCCCTTGATTGTTTCGGATATTGTGCAATAACGGGGTCCGCAGACGCACGTTTTCCGAAGTGAAAAAAACAATGTGCGGAGCGTCTTGCGCAGAATCCGCGGGAAAACACTAGGTCTGGAGGCCTTGGCATGTTTCAGAACATGAGAAAAAAACGGTGATTTGTTGCGTGCCCGCTCCAGAATGGCGCTCCCTGCGCGCCGAATATCTGAGGATGTCTCGAGCGAAACTTTTGTTTTGCAGAACTTGAGCGGCCTGGGCGCCCCAGGATGCCCAGGTCGTTCTGGGAGCCCGAACACAACGTAATGTATTTGGGAGCGTGGTCCCTGGAGCGCGGACGCAGCGTAATTCACCAGGGAGCACGGCCTTGGGAGCGCGGACGCAGCGTAATTTACAATGGATCGTGGTCCTGGTAGCGCGGGCGCAGTATGATTTGCAAGGGATGCCGGCCCTCGGTGGGCGGACAACATCGCAGTGTATTCTGGATTCTGCCCCCGGGAGTGCGGGCGCAGCGCAGTTGGCGAGGGATCCGTGGCCCTGGTGGCGCGGACGTGGCGCAGTTTGCAAGGGATCGTGGCCCTGGGAGCGCGAGCCCGGCGTGGTCGACAAAGGGGAGCGTGGCTCTCGGAGCGCGGAGCCCCTGCAGTTTGCGAGGGTGCCGCGGCCCTGGAGCGTGCATCCTCCTCCTCCTCCTCCTCCTCCTCCTCCCTCCCTCCTCCCTCCTCCCTCTCCCGCTCCTCCTCACCCCCCCTCCCTCCTCCCTCCTCCCTCCTCCCCCCTCCCCCCTCCTCCTTCTCCTCCTCCTCCTTTTTGATCCTCCGAGGCGGGGTCGTTGCCCTGGGGGCGCGGGCGCGGCGCAAGTCACGAGGGGCCGTGGCCCTGGCGGCGCGGACGCAGCCGTGCTCTTTTGCGGATCGTGCGGGCCCCGCGGAAGTTGCGGCAGTTCGCGGCCCATGGGAGCGCGGACGCGGCGTGCTCTGCGAGGGATCGCGCGTCCCTTTGGCACCTCGACTAGTCACGGGGCGCGAATATCCTGGGAGGCTCCAGGTGAGCCGCGGCGCGTCCCTTGGCGCGTCCCGCGCCACGTTCTGTGGCACGCTCCCAGACGTGCGCCCTGGCGCGTCCCCTGGCGCGTTCCCTGGCACGTTCCGTGGCGCGTCCCGTGGCGAGTCCCCCTGGCACGTCGCCGAGCGCGTCCCCTGGCACGACCCGTGGCTCGGCGTCCATTGGCGCGCTCCGTAGCGCGTCCCCTTGGCACGTCCCGCGGTGCGTCACCATGGCACGTCCCCGGGCACGTCCCCTGGCGCGTCCCTTGGGACGTTCCGCGGCGCGTCCCCCTGGCATG